TTGACATGGCTCAGACTATATCTCAAGCCTTCTTGCTTTTCTTTATCATTTTCACATTACTGTTGGGAATATGCTCCTCTGTGCTCTGATTACACATAGAATAGGTAGTAAACTAGGTGTGGTTACACGTCCGGCTCCTCACAGATAGGGTGCATTTCAACATGGCTTGACTGGATTGTATTCTGAATAACAAAGCTTTCTGACTTTGCACTGCTGTACATCAGTACCTGCTGTTTTTAACAGCGTGCCGTGCTGTAAACTGTAGTGTATGCCTAATACGTGCTTAATACCCCCCGTTTTAAACTGTATTAACTTGGCATGGGTTCATTCACAGATGCTGTGAATATGAACATGATTCACTGGGAGCTAGCTGACAGCAGCAGAGATCAAAGTGTGAAAGTGAAAGCCCTACAGATACTGTCATCTTCTACAAATGTTTAGTGAACCGTAACCTGTATCTCATTACTTTTAAACTCTCCTTTACCCTCACAACCGCTCTCATTCCTCCGGTACACCTCTGAATGTATGTGTTACAGTAGTGGAATGATTTCACCTATATATATATATATATATATATATATGCACTGTTTTTAAAAATCCAAAATATACAATTGCATGTTCATGTAAAGGGAAAGGACCAGTTAAAGTGTTGTGAGGTTATCTGAGTCCTTGAGTTGACCTTCTGACGGTAAATACTACATTGATTGACTAATCCGTTCAATAATATTATAATCTTTTTCAGAATAGGATAACAAACTAAAACAATGAAATGCACAATAATATTATGGTTATTCTTTCAATTCAAAGTAACACACTTTGACAGGCAGGCTCTGATTGCGTCACTTATTTAGACTTTGATGAAAATGAATAGCGCTAGTGCGATTGTTATTGTACTACTGCTGTCCCTGACACAGATTAATTGATTCTGATCCGTCTACTGAGCGGGCAATTGATTGACAGTTGAATTCATATTTTAATGATGACTCCCAGAATTTACAAAAGGTAGTTTTCGGAAGGCGCATGAAACATATATGCATATTATCTACACTGCTACTGGTACTTTCAAAAAGCTTTTGAACTGTGACCGTACTCCGAGAGAGAATACATGTATAAATGAAGGCCATAGTTGTTATTGAATGTAGGATCAACTGACATAAACTGCAATTAAAACTACTTGAAAAGAGCACAGGAAAATATCCATTTATACTGGGGTTCACATTTTCTGTTAACACATAAGTCTAAGTCATAACTATGTTGGTCACATGTTCTGTTAACATAACATAATGTACAATTTACCCGTTTCAGTAATGTGAAATTCAATTATTCAACATTGACAACAATGTTTCCTTAACAAATGGCAGCAGGGTAGTGGGATCATCAATTCCCACTCACATTAACAGTCTAATACATACATGTGATTAATATAGTCACTTTATCACACATTCAACCTACACTTTGTTTATTATTTTCCATAATGAAGCAGGATTTATGAAGTTTTAATTTGAACAACCAATCATTGATGTAGTTTGCTTTGTTGGTGGATTGCTGTAACTTGGCGAGTATGCCGATATGTAGCTCCTTCATCTGAACCCAAGGTGGTAAATAAATGTGTAGTGTGTTCTCCCAGTAATCTCTCCAGACTGCTGTGTGAGTCTGGTGGCCTGTGGTGAGGAGTCTGGCCCAGCTTCATCTCCCAGTCTCCCACATTGCCACACATATGGCGCTGCCTTTGTGTCAATTGTGCTCTATGGGGTCTCTAATAATTAACAAGATGACATAAAAATTAATTGACAAACCCATGGTGGTTGCGTTGCGGTTTCTATTATTTTGTTTCAGATGTATTGAGCTGTAACAGTTTTTTAAATGGACCTCTCTCAAAACTTTGAATGCATTCTTAATGTATAAAGCAACTTTGGAAATGGCAAATCCAATGAATGACATTAGCGCTGTGCGTACAGTATGTATGTTTGGATGTGTCATTATGGATTTGTGCATGCTGACAAATTACTGACGAGCTTCACTTAAGAAGGAAAATACAATATTAGAAATGTGATCCAATGCAGACCCCAGCCAAGGACACCCTTTCCTTTATTTCTATACTGTACCATACCAGACTCAACTGAAACAGAGAGGCTGTAAAGGTAACAATATGACCCTTATTGTTGAATTTTGCGCAACATCAGAAAAGAACAATAGTGTTAATCGGATTTGCCGCAGTATTAACTATATTGTTTTTCTGCTGTGTTGATAATGTTTAATTCAGAACGAATGGTACATTCTCAAGGATAACTGTGTTATTAATCCAGCTGTTGATGTCCCTGAGTTAGAACAAAACATCTTACTATTACACATGAACACTCGTCTATAGACTGACATATATTTGTTTGTTCACTAAGACTTTAATTGTGAAACTTTCATTCAATTCCATCTGATTATTGACTACATTCAAATGTGTATATTTCGAAACATTAATGTTTTCAGGAACAGCTTTAATTACTTTTCAGTAAACTTTTAACCTTGACCAAAATCTAAATCATTTTTGAAAAAGTAATAATAAACCTCCCAGTTTTAGAATTGTGTTATTTTTCTTTTCCATTTTCTCCAACAAAAACCTCTCCAGGTATATGAAACGGCCTGAGGAAGAGTGTTGTTCTCAAAAGGTCATGAGTGAATAATTAGCAATTTGAGCTATTTGCTGAATATAATATATCCCTTGCTCTCAACCAAAAGGGGACACAAAAGAAAAAAAACATGTGCCTGGTCATCATTTAACTCCAACATAAATCCGGCCTTTCAAATGTAATTACACAAATGTGTTTTTTATTTTTCTATATTCTAAAAAAAAACCTTTCTGCTTCTGCTGATATGATCAAAAGCCTTCATTACCATTGCACCATTGCTTGCTGCAGGCCCTAATTGGAGCTTCAACAAAAGCAAGCAACATTTGATATAATGGCTCCTTCCCAAACAGGAATGCCAGGCCTGCATTATGGCTTACTTTTTATTGCTTCATTCCCTGAGGGGTGGACAGAGATGTCATCATTAGTGGGCAGTGGACACTGGCCGTGGTGTTGAGGTCTAAGAGTGGTCAGCCAGGCCCGTGGCCCAGCAGCAGCAGCTACTCTCTATGTTTTCCTGTCTCGGCTCCCATCTGGCCACGTGACCTCGCACCAATCTGCTCCCGCTGAATACATGTAGGGAGCTAATGAGGAGGGAGGCTTTGTGAAGACCGGGAAAAGGGCACCTCTTTCTCTTCTACTCGAAAAGGAGGGAAAAGTCGCTGTGGTCAATTTTATTAACTTGGCTGACCTTCACACAAACAATTAACATTTACAGAAAACACAGCCCCTCCCATTATGTTCCTCATCTCCATCTTAATCTTCAACCTCACCACTAGCTGCACTTTTTCCCTACTTCTGCAGGAGAAATGTAACATTAAAGCAGCAAATTAAATAGCTCGATGTACTTTTAAGACAATTGCAAGGTGATGTGGATTATGCAGTAGAAGGTCACTCATCTGAAGGTCCCTGACATGTTCTGTAATTGGCTAAGGGCCACCACTGTCACAGTAATAAGCCAACAGTGAGCAGTGATTATGTGACCTTATCTACTTATCCTCCTATCGGACCATCAGCAAACCGTTATGCATTCTGAAATGTTCTGTAATAAAGATAGAAAATGGGATGAGACATGTTGAAAGTATCAGAACCCAAAGGAAGTTCCATAAATAATCCGTATTAATTTACACATGGATGATAAGTCGTGAATGTAAGAACTTGACCACCCACACAAGTTGAATGTTCACCGTCTGTAGTCTTTATTAAATACGGACATATTATTAGAGACATCATCCATTGGTTTCTAAAGGGCAATGTTTAAGCTTTAAAGCTGCATTGAAAGTAGGCAACATTGCTGTGCAGACACCACCTTGCTCATGTTATTACATAATTCAGTCAGCGGAGGAATGTTCAGAGCAGGCAATTAGCAGCTAGCTACTGTACCTGTGATTGCACCCACCTCTTACTTAAATCAGACACATCCAAACTATGCATAATTGTTAGCCTTGATATCATTTAGTCATGTGAGTTATGCAATACTTCACCCCTAACAATGTTCCATAAGCGCATACATTTGCAATGAAGTCCCAATCAGTTTTTTTCAACATACAATACAGCTTCATTTATAAAACCTCCAGACCAAAGTGCTGTACAGTCAAATAAACAAACAAAGCATACACAAAAACACACAGCACAGCTCACACACACCATAAAACAAGTACAAGTAAAAACAATAGACAATGTAAAAGCATTAAAAGCAACAATCTAAAATATGTCTATACTCTAAGGAGAAAAGCCATAAACCTGTTCATTTAAATTCTTAATTGTGTTAAATGTTACCGCTTGTTGTCGTTGTCTCAAGTGTCCATTACGGGAACTGCAACATATGGCACTTCCCTGTTAGCTTCGTATTTTCATCTTTTATTTGTCTTCATTAGCATCTTAGTTGCCGTTCTGTACTGCCTGTTGTGAAAAAAATGATATGTTTATCAAAAGTTATTTTTCAAAATGTGAACTAGCCGGGTAAGTTGAATAGGAACAAACTCAGCGGCTTTGCCTGTATAGGCTCCTCTCTCCTACTGTGTGAGTTACCCTGTCATCCTTGTATGTGAGGTGATTTTATCCTGACATAAACAGAAAATGAGATTTGCATTAACACTAGCTTCCTCTCTTTGTGTGTGTGTGTGTGTGTGTGTGTGTGTGTGTGTGTGTGTGTGTGTGTGTGTGTGTGTGTGTGTGTGTGTGTGTGTGTGTGTGTGTGTGTGTGTGTGTGTGTGTGTGTGTGTGTGGTGTGTGTGTGTGTGTGTGTGTGTGTGTGTGTGTGTGTGTGTGTGTGTGTGTTGGTGTGTGTGTGGTGTGTGTGTGTGTGGTGTGTGTGTGTGTGTGTGTGTGTGTGTGTGTGTGTGTGTGTGTGTGTGTGTGTGTGTGCTCTTCCATTTGTAGAACCTGATAAAGAACCTGCCGGAGCAGAAAGAGCTGAATGCGCTGGCGGAACTAAAGGGTGAATATGAAGAGCTCGTGGAGTCGGAGCAGTTTGGCATTGTGGTGAGTATAATTTCCTGGTGACTACTGGATCGCCTCAAGAAAACACACAGTATACACAGTCATTCTCCCAGTCTGCTCTAGTCAAACACTTGCAAACATGCACAGTTGAGAAATTCAATTTTATTTATTTTTATGCTCACTCTCTTTGTCCCTCAATACCTCGCACAGACTCACAAACGTGCCCTCCCAGTGTTGTTTCACACATTATTGTTGAGGGCACTGCTGAGTTTGGACAGCTGGGACCAGGAAATTACCACATGTATAATTTAAAAGTGATTCCATAGACTTTCAACATTTAAACATATAAGGGGCATATTTAATAACACAACTTCCAAATGACAGAGACACTCAAAAAAAGAAGTGATTTTGACTCGCCAAGAACATTTCAATCGTTCTTGATTAGGATTCAGCAGCATTCAACTCATATTTTTGACATCAACTGTCAATGTTGTCTCGAGATAAAATCAAACCCTAAGGCTATGAATCCTGTCTGTAAAAAGAGTTATTTGAAAAGCATGCAGCTGCACTCGACCCACTTAGTGATGTATCCCAATCCTCTAATCAATATACAATGACCAGCCAGCGTTTTATCTTTTGCAGCCAAAGGATAAATAATGCTCTTGGTAACAAACTAAACTTACAATATAGCCTTCAGAAAGTAATATATTTTTCAGACAACTCTTAATGATTAGCATGTAATTATAGCTCAAATTAAGCAGGTAAGCATTTAAGGTCCAATCTGGAATTGTACCTAATCTACTGACATATTTAACATGTTTTCCTTAATTGTGTAAGACAGTTCAAATGTGGGATGTGTGTTGCGTGAACCTTTTTCATATACAGCCACCTGTGTAACTTTACTTAACACAAAGAGTGACTAAAAATAGGTGTTCTGTAAATCAGTTTTTAAAGAAGGGAAGTACATCATCAAGCTTTTCAAGCTGTTCTGACCTTTCCTCTTAGTTACATCTGTAATTACTTTTTAATTAACTGCTATTGCCATCCATTCACCAAGTGAATACCCAGCACTTTAAGCAACTGGACAATAAAGTGTTATCTTTTAACTCAACTTTACAACAAGATCATATAAATACAATCCACGCTTTTACAAAATCTGTGTTCAATTTAGACACAAAGGTCGAAGATGTGCTCCATCTCTTGAGCTATTCTTTTTAGTTGTCGAATTATTTTTTCTGCATATGTCTTTTTGGAGATGTAATGAAGCAGGGGTGGCAGTTCCCCCTTGTGATCACACCAATTTTGTGATAATATACCAGCCCACTGATGAAGAGCTCCTCAATGCTGAGCTATTTAGTTCCCCTGGGAAATAAGCCATGTTCAAGCTTTCCTCTGACAGACCTGTCACCAATGTGCTCACTTTCATTGTGATTTCTCCTTATTGTATACAAATCAAGTGAGGGAGTGGGGATGAGTGTGTGTGCTTATGTGTGTGTTTGTGTGTGAACGCACATTCATTTGTGCGAGGAAGTGAGATGGTTGCGTTTGTTGTTGTGGGGAGAGTGGGGGTGTTGTTTGATAGACAACTCCCCCATGCACATGAATACATTTGAGCAGTAATGACACATTATGGGCTGGATCTGAAGGTTGCCTTGAAGCATTGGATTAAGCAGCAATCTGAATATTGTGTCTGTTGTTGCTGCTTTTCTACTTATCTTACAGCCAAAACCCAATTTGTTTGAATTTTTTCCCATTTTCATAACTATATTTCCTCTCATGTATTCTGACTTCAGTGATTCTACTCCCAAGCCAACAATTATTGATTGAGGCTGTTATATTATTTACAACCGATCATTTTAAGATCAATCAGAAAGTCACGAGGGAGACATAAGATAGGTTAATCTGATTGGCTGACGAGGGTAGTTGATGATCAAATCAGTAACAACACTAAAGTAGTGTGACTTTAAATGATTCATTGTATGTCATTATACAACCAACCAAGTCATAGTGCTGTTAGAACTTGGATTCTAAAATCATTTTCAAACAACTCTAAGATAGTCAGGATTCAACCAAATGCATGCTTGAATAATCACATTATTTACTCATATAGAGATGTGCTTTATTGGTCTATCATGTGCATCTTCCTGTCAAGGGAGCAAAAACCGTCAGTGTTTTCAAGTTTTGCACTTTACTTAATATATACACTTTTAAAAGTGAATCAGACAACTGGTGAGCTTACATAAAGTACGTTAAGAGGGATGGCCCATTTGTTATACTAACGTTCACCTCATGTTCGTTTTGTATGGGGACATTGTGTTTCTCTTAAAAAGAATGTGCAAGTTTCTGCAAGTACTACAGTAATATTTGTAAATCATGCCAGCATGCTCGCCCCTGCCCTACAGAGAACAAATGTGTTCATTTTGAAACTTGGTACCAGCAATTTAGGGTCACTCTCCCTGTAGATATGTTGAGGGACGGCTTGCAAACATAAGTGCACAGAATGACTAAAAAACAAACAATGCAGAATGTGGAGTTGCCAACAAGATGAAAATCGGCTCTTAACAATTACCCTGAAAACTGCACAACTGTAGCAATGCCTTGTTTTTTTTATTATGTACAAGCTAAAGTACTCCTACATTGTTTTTTGTTTCTTACCCTCAGATGAGTTCAGTAAAACTGCTACGACCACGTCTTAACGGCATTATATTCAAGCTGACGTTTGAGGAGCAGGTGAACAACATCCGGCCGGACATCATGAATGTGACATTTGCCTGTGAGGAGGTGAAGAAGAGTGAAGGCCTAAGCAAACTCCTGGAGTTGGTGTTGCTGGTCGGCAATTACATGAATGCCGGCTCAAGGAATGCCCAGACGTTTGGTTTCAACGTCAACTTCCTTTGCAAGGTAACACACCACACAGACACACACCGTGATGTGAACAATGAACTGACATTGACATAAAAGGAGCAACGCCAAAATGTATGTAAATGCGTCTATTTATATATGAATTAGGGCTGTCAAGCAAAAAAAAATTAACGCCACTAATTATTTTAACGCGATTAACGCATGTGTATTTTTTGTCCTCGGCCGCCGTAGTTTCAGAGCGCATCGAGTTTAAAATACCATCGACAAGCTGATGCTGACAGCCCCGCTCCTGCCGCCCGCTTGTGGCAGACCACACTTCCACGCTCACTGGCAGGCCCGGACTGGCCATCGGTAGGACCGGGAGTGTGTATGTGTGGCGCGACTCGCGCGAGCGAGGCACACCTTACGTGTTGTTGTTAGCATCTGGTGCTAGCTAGCTGCGCTAACGGATATAAGGAGCTGTTTCAATGACATTTCGCCGACAACTGCGCCGAGCACTTGACTTTATGCAGGCAGCCAGACAGTGGGACATTGTACGAAAAGTCAGCACACTCAGCACGGATAGTACGCGCTACATGATTGCAGCGTCCAGGCAGCTCCCGTTGGAGCATATATGCCTTGAGCGACACACACACACACACACACACACACACACACACACACACACACACACACACACACACACACACACACACACACACACACACACACACACACACACACACACACGCACACACACACGCACACACACACGCACACGCACACGCACACACACAGTATTATTGTATGAGAGGTTCCAGGTTGAATTGAGGTGAATATTTGTAATGTTCAGGTTGTTGTGTTTAATATTCATGAGAATATTTGTCATTGTTCAAATGATAATAAACAAACATATAAAGCATAGTTGTCCACTCATATGTTGATAAGAGTATTAAAAACTTGAAAGATATCCCTCTAAGGTACATTTAGAACAGATCAAAAATGTGCGATTAATTTGCGATTAATCGCGATTAACTATGGACAATCATGCGATTAATCGCGATTAAATATTTTAATCGACTGACAGCCCTAATATGAATACATTTACATTTATTAAAATGTGTCCAAAGCAAAACAAATAATTTGGCTCAATCTAAGCCTCAGTAGATCACAGGGAAGCCTCAGAGAATATGTGTTGCAAAACTCGTATGCGTGTTACAGTGTATGGACTGGGATTTGTTTCAGTCATTAAACTGTCTTATGTTATGAACATTGAAATGCATACTAATCATTCTCAGTCAGACTCGTTTAGCCTTAATCAAATGCTACTCTCAGATGAAAGAGACAATTTCAAAAGATCCATTTGCTGCAAGATAAAAGGTTTACTGGGTGTAAAAAGAAGTCATCAGTTGAGCCTTTTTCAAGCATTCCTTAAAGTACCTTGAAGGAATGTGGTCTTCTCAAATCTACAGTACCGATTAATTAAAAACAATGTTTCAATACAACACATATCAAAACATGTAGAGCACAGTGGAACTTGCCAGCGAGTGCTAATATCTGTGTCCACTGCCAGGTAAAAAAATCACAGCATGCCAAAGGTGTGAAAGAGAGGACTGGCAGCCATGGTCACACAGCAACACAGAGCACACACACGCTCTATTAGCAAACCTGTTTACACACACCTTGAGGACATATTCCCCATACATCTCCATACAAAATCTAAAACTTGGCAAATGCACATTGTTCAAATTAATCCTCATAATGTTTAACTTTCTCCAATGCCAACTGCTTGAAAAGATAAAGTTCCAGCAAAAACATTTACAAAATCAAAACCATGTCATTAAATTTAATTGACAGCCACAAAAGTGCTTTCTATCTTCTCCCTTTAAAGTAGCTTTCACACTCTGGTGCTTTGTAGTTTAGGCAACCATTTTCAGTGTCTTATCTAATTGATGATAAAACTAATAAGAAGATGTATTGGGCAGCTTGTAGAGTGCTTGGAAAACCTTGTGAGGGCGATGAACGGGGTGGGGGGGGGCAGACTTTCTCCCAGCTTTTCCTAAAATTAGCGATCAAGAAGGGGGGATAAATGACCAAGACAAATATAAAAATGCAGCCTGTGTGAAATTATTCTCAACTCTGCGGTTCTGTAGCAGTCCTACAAATGTCATGAGAAGAAAAAGCCATCATGTCAAATGGATCAGTCATGTGAGAACACTCAACATGGGAGTTTTTCCATATGTGAGACCAACGTGTGAATGCCATAAAGCTACCTTCCGCCTTACATGCACGTTTGAAGCCAGTCATCTTTGCAGGTGCGAAAAGGGTTTTAGTACGGTGAATCCAGTGTGCCTTCCGTATTTCTGCAAGCGGACTGAATCAGTGTGGAGTGTCAGTGTAGAGCCTGGTAATGCCTCAGGGGGCTGATTGGGCCATTATAGATGGACAAGAAAAAAAGTCTACTTTCTCACTTTAGTCAATCAAGTAAATGGCCCCCTGGGTGGCAGGTCTGGGGTACCTAATGGGCTCATCAGGGAGGATGAGGTTGATGATGGGAATGACTAGTATGAGGAAGGGCATACGCTGACCCACCTACAACCCTTCACCGCAGCCCCACGTCTGGCCAAGGACACCCACATCTCCTGGGAGCCCGCCTGGTCACATGCATATTGCAAACATCCGCTGTGGCTTTAGAAGGACTGCGGTGAAATGTGGAATACATGTCACTATCGTTAAGTGTCAATGACATGTAAGCAAATGTACGTAATGATAGGAACAGTTTTACCTATATTTCTCCAAGGAATATCCATATTGTAAGAAAAGTACAGAGTAAAACAGAGATTCTCTTATGAAACATATTGAGTAACTGGATAAAACCATCTGCTGTGTGACTCAAAAACAATGAAATATGTTTTTTTCTCTTGGGTTTTATCCCACTGAATAAATCCCAGTAACAGGCGGGGCTTAATAATTAATGACCACATGGCAACCATTTGTGTTCAGATGAAGTTAAACAGAACAGGCTACCTGTTAGACACTTGGTTAAAAGAGAGTCCTCTACCAAGCAACAGTCTGACCTTGTGTCCTGTTCTTGAAATATAGTATTTTCAAAAAGTTTAAATGACCTTTGCAATTATTAAAGTGATTATACAATTCCAGACCCCATGTACACATTGAAGTAACTTGGTTCTTATATTCACACAACTCGTTCTCTATGTGTCTCTGTTTATAGTACTTTCCATTATTGTTCTTCTTCTACATATTATCATATATAACTATAAAATGTGATGGCCTGTGCTGCAGCTCCATCTGCAGAAGTTAAATTGAGCAATCAAGAGCCGACAATCCTTCTGTTAGGGTGAATCTTCTTTATTCCCACTGCTGCTTCTTCTGTTATTAGTTAATTATTGTGTTATTTATTTATTTCTGATGTGGATATATAAGGGGGATTGTGTTTGCTTGTTAACAACCTTGCCACTCTAAATGCTGAATATATTGGATTGTATATTACTAACCAGTCAGGGATTTGAAATAATGCTACCTCAAGGCAATTTATGTAGTGAGAGATTGAATGATATCACTGTTTAGAATTTTGCTTCCAGCTACAGTGTAATGAAGCAGCATTATTCCATCAATTTCAAATGAACACATTTGTTTGGAGAAGTAGCATTTATAAATACTTCATCTTGTTCCACCATTCATGCTTGATGGGATGATACACATTGAAAGCAGTTAGCGTACAAAATGTTTAAAAAAAAGGTAGTTCCAAAGTAATTTTTAGAGGTAAAACTAGTATCTTCAAGTAGAGCATTCCATAGCTCTGATGATAAAGACTTTTGAACTTTTGGCATTTAACACGGACTTAAATTGGCCTGGACAAAGGATGGACTAGAATTGAAAATGGCCCTTTGACAGACCAGCTCACTACAAACTGTGCACAGATTATCCACAACCCTTGGCACAGTTCTCACGATACCTTTAAGCTGCATGGAATAAAACTTCAGTGTATGAATGAAACATCAGCTCCTTGGGCTTTATGTGGGATTCATCGTGAGCTTAAATTGACCTTTAACATAATGTGGAACCACTACCAACAGCATTAGTTATAGCTCAACAAGCTAACAATACAGTTCACATACTACTGTCATAATAACTAGTCTTTTGGTTAATGATCTATAACCTGTTACATGAATCCATATCATTATGTATGTCTTCAACTCAAAAGGTTGTAAAGGGCAAAACGCTCGAAAAAAGATGTGAATAAATCTAACAGTGAATATCACATTTTCATTAAAAAATATATATCAATATTTACCCTCATTAAGCCACATCTCCCTTGGTCCATACCCAAGGGAGAGACAATGCAATGTGTTGCTGGTCATACAAGGCCTATACGATAAAGCAAAGGCTTAAACTACTTATTTAACTTTCTAGTTTCATGTGTGTACATCAACGACTTCTTCTCTCTCTTGCTTTGAGAGACGAGGCGAGGTAACAGATACTTAACACAACTAGACATCCTTGCCTATGAGCCGTCATTTTAAAGCCAAGTCCATTAAAAACGACTTGTGGCACAGCTGCTTCACCTGTCCATTTTTGTTTTTGTAACCTTCCGCTGTATTTTATGGTATCCGTCAGTTGAGCGTAACAGTGTTTATGACAACTTATATATTTACTTTTGATTCAATTAACTTGACATTATGTGACAAGAATGTACAGATGTACATTTTTTTTATCTTACACCTAAATTATGTGTGGACTTGGTCCATTCTTATTATGTCAATGATATTCACTTCACAAAGCTAATATGCTTCCAGTTTCATCGGATCTTATTACCTGAGCCCAAACTCACCCTCAGACCTAGAATCAGTCAAATCCAACACCAAGCACACAATTACAGTAAATAAGGCTAAATATACCACTTTAAAGCATAAACACTTTATTTTTTGTGAAACTACAGACAATTAGTGATAATCAAAACACTGTGCACTGACTATACCACATTATTTATACTTATTTAATCAAATGTTTCTTAATATCTTACAAAGAAAATATTATTACATAATAAGTGTTACCTCTCCCATCTTACCCTCTCTTTATTACATATAACTAATATTAGATAGCAGATGGATTTATTATACCAGAGATGCACCTTTTTGCCTGGTAATGACAGTTTGGGGTATAACAATAAACAAATTAAAATTTGAAATCCATGAAATTAAATTGTGATTACCCAACGTGAGCACATGATTGATCCTCAACTAATGAAAGTGTGTGTGTGTTTCTGTTGGTGTGTGACAGTATGCCACTGTCTGCCTGTAATCATTTAAATTCACTGTTGCTTAAATGTGTGTGCTTCTGTACACAAGTGTTTGCATGTGAACACATGTGGGCATGTCCAACTGCAGGATGTTTACAGCCGTGATAATATCAGTAGGAGTACACAGGGGTGGGTTGTGCTAATTAGTTTTCCCAGCATGCCATTCGAACAGCATGGCAATCACGGTGGGGAATGAATATGGAAAAAGTTTTCTTTGCACTGATATGGCGACTGGAGGCTTTTGTGTTTGCACACACACACACACGCACACACACACGCACACACACACACACACACACACACACACACACACACACACACACACACACACACACACACACACACACACACACACACACACACACACACACACACACACACACACACACACACACACTTGGCAAACGTAGTACATGGCTTTTATTCAAACTTTTTGCCACATTGATTTAGTCGTATAGATGATCCACACTAACATTGGTTGTTAAGATCATATATATATATATATATATATATATATACATATATACACTTCCTCTTGACTGCCTTTTCTGTTTATTTAATTTATTTTTGTTGATGTTTTTGTTTGTTTTGCCTGTCCCTGTTTGTCTACCCTCCCTCATACTGTAAAGCGTCTTTGAGTTCCAGAAAAGCGCTATATAAATATAATGTATTAGTATTAATATTATTATATGCACCTTCAGGTTCAGGTTATTTATTTGTACCCGTAGGTAGATTTTGTAGTATACCCTGCTCAACCAAATCTCAAAATATTTCAGAAACATTTTAAGAAGGAAAACACTAGTACAAACATGGACATTCAAAATTCATAATTAAATAAATAATAAAAAAATAGACATCTGTGTGACACTCCTATGATGTGTTAATTTGTGCAATAGCTGCTGGGATAAAACTGTTTTTATACCGCTTCGTTCTACTCTTTGGGACAACTAACCTTAATCAATAGTCAATGGAGTTCATGTGGGAAGGACATTTTCCAAGTAAATGAGTATAACATTATGGGTTGACTGATTTCCTTTTGTTATTCTCATGCTTTTCTCTTTAGCTCCGAGACACTAAATCCATCAGTCAGAATACCACTCTACTTCATTTCCTCGTTGAGAAGTGTGAAGAGGCTCACCAAGAGATTTTGAGGTTTCCAGATGAACTGGAGCATGTGGAGAGTGCCAGCAAAGGTATGTCTTTGTGATTTGAAAACACTATACAGTATGTCATATTACTCACATGTACATTATAAAAGCAATCACAGCATGCACGATTGATTACAGTCTGGGTAAGGCGGTCTTTACAGTGGGCTATGCATCTACCAACATATATCCATTAATGCATCCATGTTATTCATTGATTTTTTTTTAGTTCAGCCCGTTTTCTCCCTTTACCTATCTATGTCATCCCTCGTCAACAGCTTGTACTCTCTTGGTGACAGAAATAGAGTTGTTTTTCTGACCACACTGTCATTCAGCCTGTCAATAAACTAATTCCAATCTAATTCTATTCTCAAGCATTTGGTAGAATCCCTGAGGGCTTATTTACTTTGTTAGTCTGTTAATTGGTTATTTAATCTAATTCAACTAATTATGCACTTGACTGAAGCTGCCAGCCATTGTGTAAATGGACTGCATAGTCTTCATGCTCTGTATATATTTAGATGTCTTTACTGTATGCACAACATTTGAATGATATCAACTTTGTCATTTGATGGAAATTAATTATTCAAGAAAATGCTAGTTTATTGACTGAACTATTTAAGGGCTAGGGATAAAAAATTAATGTTTAGAATTACTGGAAAGGTTAACACTTCTGAATACGCCATCAATGTTATTTAAAAAGTATTACAAAGCATATTTCTCTTTTGTACCACACATATATATATTTTTTTTTGAAATTTTAGACATAAAATGTGCTGTTTTATCCCGTATATATTACAGTGTCCTTAGTATATTCAAGCCAGACAAATGGAAAAGCTGAAACCTGTGCTGACGGGCCTCTTAAAATCTTTTTCATAAGCTCTCCAGTTCTTTGAGGCACAAAGGAACATTGTGACCAGAGGCCATGTACTACCGCACTCCATGTCTTTGAAAAGCTTTTACTGCCTGTAAAAACAGTAGAGCATCTTTAAATTATTTACCACTATCTTCAGATCCTTTACAAGCTTAAGTAAACTACCCAAAGAACATTAAACAAAGCGCCCTTTTCAGCTTAATACACTGTACACTCAAGAACATGATGTTAAAAACTACTTAAGCATGAAAGGTCTCCTCTGATGACGGCGTTTTTTAAAGTTGTATTTAACATGTGTCTCCTTAACTTAAAATATCATAATCAAGACATAAAGTGAAACATTTGACAATACACATACATACCGTACACATTAAGTGCATTTTTATGAATGAAATAAACGTGTAAAAGGCCTTTATTGCTGTGCTTAAAGGGGAAACAAATCGTATGTGAAAGGCACTGTGTTAAGACTCTGGTCTGCATGTGATTTCTGAGTGTTGTTCGCCCGAGGCTTATGGGGGGGTCTGGCAATGATGTTGGGATTCAAATTTAATCAAACGGCCATCTACAATGATTGGAGGTTGTACAATCAATGCACCTCATTGATAAGTGCAATCAGCCAAGTATAATTGCCCTAGGAAAGCATAACTCCCCTGCCTTGATTGGCTGCTTCAGAGTTTTACTCAACCAGTGCCAGTCATCCAGTTTCTCACAAATTGGATTTCCACCTTGCTATTGTCTGGACACAATTTGTATTCAGTCGTCATTGAAAATGATGCGTTATCTTTTTATTACAGTAATTCAAATTATATTTCCATTATATAGCAGGCCTATACATATTTAAATGACGGGTGACTGATAATTATTGTTAATTGCATCATTGATTATTTAATGTTGTTCTATGAGAGAATTTAGCGATAATCGCTACAGCTGAAAATCAAAGGATGTTAAAACTCTTACTGCAAATATATATATACACACTGCTATGTATCTGTGTATATCAATCACAATACATTCAACTGAGGTGTTATAATTATAATGAATGAACCAATATTTTCTAGCTGATATGATAACTACCACTGAAATGAATTGACTATCATCTTAATCTTACTCAAATTCAAAGGAGCTTTATTGGCATGACCATATCAACACATAGTATTGCCAAAGCAAGTTGTACAAGGTGTTACGACAACAAAGTCAACCCATACACATTTAAAAAATAAGAACACCTCACATACTGTACATGTTAAGTGTTACCCAAAATCATATATTGGCCTGGGATCAGAGGAGGAAGTGTCCTAATGGCACCTAGAAGTTAGCATTAACTAAGACTAGGTCCAGCACATAGAGATGTTCCCATAGGAGAAGTTACTCCTCCTAGGATTCAACTATTATCAAAGCCTAACTGTATTAGGTCAATTATGATTAACATTCACATGATTGTGTAAGAAGGCCTGGGCAGCCATGTGTTTTCCTAGAAATAGGCAACACTCATGTTTCAACACCGTACTGGAAACATGGTTTTATTGAACACAACATATTTGTACTCTATTATTCAAATAAATAAAGTTGCAAATCACTGAACTTATAGCAGTGTTCTTACAACCAATATGTTTCGTGTAGACATGTACACTATGTTGCATGCACTCTACACATTTTTGTTTTGCTCAATGTTTAGATTTTCTGCGAAATAAATGATTGCAGAAAAAATGATTGTAAGGAAAATCAAAGTATGCTGGATCTAGTGTACTGTAATACTCTTTTGGACAAAGTGCTTTTCAGATGAACGAGGTGTAGGGTAATGTAATGAGGTAGTAAAGACATCAGGGTTGTTGCCTGAAAGATCCTCCATCATATTCAACCTTCCTTTTTGAGACCAGTCCTGCTTTTATTTCTGGCTTTGTATCCAAACTACAACCATATCTCACTGTGAGCTCCATCTCTGTCTTAGCGGAGGATCGTAGCCACTCTTGTCACCGAGATCTTTGATCTCTTCTGATAAATCACTCTGCGGGATGAAGGATTTGAAGGAGGACTCTGGCCTTCTCAAAGAAAGTGAATTCAATTTACATTTTTTTTTATCTCATCCCCTTCCTTCTTAATAACTGGTCCCACCCAGCGTGTACACCCTCACAACGGCCAACTGGAGTTTGTAAAGATATTCTGTAATTGAACTGTAGTGATTATTATAGTGGCAGGGGAAAGCATGTGTTGCAATTCAGTATGTAGTAGTAACTGAAATTGCTCAATGCTAGTATATTCTACATTATTATTTACATTATTAGTGAGCCCTGATCCATTGCATCTGTTGTATTATTTATCTATTTACTATTTTGATTTATCCAAAAATATGCTCAGGTTAAAAACTGATGCTGTAACCAAACAGCAGTGATATATCAGATTGATAAAGATAAGAAGATTCCACCCACATGATAGCTCCTTATGATTGAGAGAGAATATTGTTTGTACCATATTCCTATTGCTTATTTTCCAACTTTTTTCGCTGCTTTAGTCAACATTTATTTGAATATGAATAATGTATTCTTCTTTTCTTTTTTATAAGAGACTGCACTTAAATATATTAAATACTTTGCTTCAGTTTTAAACTCAAACTCTCATAAAGAATGAGCTTCTTTCAGAATAATTAAAAATGGTTTATTTTGCCCGTAGTCCTGAAAGAAAACAGGACACCAGGCTGTTATTTCCACATTAGGATTCAAAATAGAGCACTTCATCTTCTAGTTTGCATTTAAAGATAATAGCTCACGGGAGTTGCATTAATAGAGGATATTTCAAAAGCTCAAGTGAGCTAGTTGTGCAGTAATTATGGGAGTGCCATCCTGATAGCTGTACATATGAACCACTGATGAGATCATAACCATGCAAAAGCATTTCTCATCAACCTCTCCCCTCCTCTGCTTAGCAAACGAGAGTTATACATCACAACATCTCTTTGTAATTCTAGGATGATAATATCAATCAATACTAACACGTATGGTAGGCTGTATTCTGTCTATAATAAGATTGTATTTGCAAATGCAGATATGTTTGTTATTTATTGTCATTGCTCTATATTGGTTTCGGGGAATAATAATGAAACTGCTTTGCAAATGAACTATTCATACTGTATTTGGATTTATTCATAAATGTTCTATTGGATTTTGGGACCATAACCATTTGAAATGCAGTCATAGAATCCACTATTTTCATACCCCTGACCTCATCTTAATAGCAGCCGCAAAGCCTTGAGAGAAGTGTCATTGGCCAATTTGCCTTGTTAAATCCCCCCCCAGAGATGAATATGTGGGGCCTGACAATGGGAACTAAGTCTGTATGGTGATTCCACTCAATCAGTGGTGCACTGACAATCTGTCTTGACAATCCAGAAAAAGAGGAAATATGACACAAATGTTCTCATAAATCTATTTGGTATAAGGCATAGCCAAGGGCAAAGTACTTTGGAGCCTGTGAGAGAGAAAATGGAGAATGAAGGGAGAAAAAAAAAGATGAACTCTGAGGATATTAATACCGCTGTGAATATATCTATTATCCACATTCATTCCAAGGCACTGCAGCATAATAAAGCAGCGCCCATTTCCCATTTAAACTCATAGCAGTACTTGGCTCTGTATTACGTAGACAAAATGCCTTTCTGGATGGGCTGGAACACAGAAGTGATCATTTGTCTTCTGGTTTCAATGGAGTTTCAGGGAATCATGGGGTTGAGAAGATATCCTCTCATGCTAGTCCGGGGAGGGCATTTATCTGAAGTCAGCTGCAGAGGCTTGAGGCAGAATAGATGTAATTCCATCCAAACACTTAATAACTTCTGCAGCATGCTTACGTGTTCCTTTTTTGCAAAGATATGTTTGCCTGAAACTCAAGATTCAAATCTGAAGTTGATAGTTTGCAATAAAGCAACCACTCTTAAAAAAAAATTCACAACAGAAATGTTAACTCGCATTTCAAAAAACGTAAAAAAGAGGAGATAATGAGAAAAATATAGTTTTGGTAAAATATTTTTGGAAGTTCCTTGCTAGCAGTAGGGCTGTGCTACCTACACGTCAGCGGATAGCGAACAGCACTCTTGACATACTGTACAGTATATGATAATATTACATGTTATCTGCTTTTGTATTTCTTACTAACTGTTTATTTTAAATAGATATAATTATAT